GAAAGTGTAACCATTGAATTTTTTTCCATAAAAGTAACTATAATCAGCTTCATGCAAAAAAAAAAGTTTTTCTTAAAAAAGAAAGAAATGAAAAAGAAGTAAAATAACTCTAAATGATGTATTTGAACACAGGTTTCTGATTTTTTGTTTGCTTATTTATTTATCCGTATATTTATTTATATTTTTCATGCAAGGGTGCAAATCCAGGTTCTTCTGAATGCTAGGCAAATGCTCTACCTTTTTAAATTTTAATTCAAAATAGGGTGTGGTGGTGCACACTTGTAATTCCATCTACTTAAGATGCTAAAGCATGAGGATCTCAAATTTGACCCCAATCTGAGAAATTTAGTGAGAAACTGTCTCAATAAATAAATAAATAAATAAATAAATGGGCTGTGGCTGTAGCTGAGTGTTAAACCCTCCCTAGGTTTAATCCCCACTGCTAGAGAAAATTAAAACTAAATAAAATCACCACCTAAATATATATATATATATATATATATATATATATATATATATATATATATATATATTTTAAATGAATACCTAAACTATAAACGTTCTGCAAAAGTCCAGCTCCCAACAGAAAATCAGAGGCCTCGACCTGGAGATAGATGAGAGAGCCAATGCCTATTGAACAGACAAAATTGATTTTAACAGTGACTTCCAGGTAGAGGGAGCCTGAGAGCCACTACCTCAAAACCCACCTGTTGCTCAAATGTGGCTCAATGGGTCTCTATGTTGATTCCTAGTCATCCAATAATTCACTCAGTGGGGACTGAACCAACCAGGACAAGTTCATCCTGGCACTGAGATAGAATCAAACCCTAACCAAAGAATGGATGATTCAAGATGCTTCAGGAGAAAAGATCTTCATCACAAGAGGGAAACATAAATGGTGTCCAAATCAACAGGGAGTAACATGTGTCATAACCTGATGAGGGGGAGCGAGGGTGCTGGGAGGAGAAGGTCAGTGGGCAGCACTGCCTCATGCAACAACTATCACAAACCAGTCAGCCACAACCTCAGCTGTGCATAAAACTACCCCAACCTGTACCCCCCATGTGATGTAGGAGGACACCTGGCCAGTCACTGCCTGTTGTCCTTGAACTGAGGCCACCCTTTGTACTGAATTTGTGGAGCCAGTGATAATTGATTCAAAGCTGCCTTTGACACCCTGTCTCCCTTTGCCTCCTGGATGGGCCTCTGACTCATCTTTCTTTGGGTGTCCTGCATTCCTACCCTATTATGTCTGACTACCCTTGTTCTTTGGAGAGCCACTGTCTGTTGTGACTTAGGTTGACACTAACATCTACCTGCCTCCTGCACTAAGTTAAGGGTGGTAAGAAAAGGCAGCGCTGTGGCATGAAGTCACCCTTTCAGCTGGCTACACACAGACAAATGGCAGAGAAATTTAGAATTCAGTTGAGAGACTAGATTTCAATTGTTCTGGAGCCTAAAAAGCAATGAGGTCTCTGAAATAGCCTTAGTCCTACTTCACTGCACACATAGGAGATTAAATGTGGGTCATTTGTGGTAAGTCATTATGTGAAACAGAAACCAAATATAACCTCAGCCAATTGTAATTATCTAACTAACATATGATTATGTGATGTGAGCAGGGATATTTTCCAACAAGAGACCCAAAACGATTTTAATGGTTTAGATGATGTGTCTCTGAACAGCTCACATGTGACAATGTTTTTGAGGAGAAATGATTGGTTTAGAGCCTTCACCTACTCAGTGAATCAATCCCTGATGGGAATAGTGATAAGTGGGGGTGGGTAGAGTGTGGCTGGAGGAAGCTGAACATTGGGGGTGTGAATATGGGTGTATATTTTATATCTGGCAAGTGGCCATCTCTCTCTCTCTCTCTCTCTCTCTCTCTCTCTCTCTCTCTGTTTTCTAATGATGTGAGCCACTTCCCTCTGCCACACTCTTCCACCATGATGTTCATCCTCACCTTGGAGGTGAGGCCACAAGCAATGGACTGCAGTCTCTGGATTGAGACTTCTGAAATCATGAGTCCCCAAATAAACTTTTCCTCCTCTGTAGTTGTTGGGGTTGGGTGTTGTAGTGACAGCATGAAAAAGCTGACTAACACAAAGACAGAACAACAAAGCAGAAATGCAATTCTGTATCTGCCGCCAATCAAACCATTCCTTCTACATCTTCCCTGTAAGTCCTCCCCTCACATGGCTCATCATCCAAGCATTCTCTCTCTTTCCGTCTCTCCTTCCTCAATTCCTGAATCACTTTTTACTCAGGATCTTCAATTTTTCCTTTGCCTGTGAACTTCTCACAGCCCAAAGGGCCCTGGAAGCTTCCTGGGGCCAAGTTTGCCTGGGAGATGTGCCCTGGGGGATCCCTGATTCTGAAGGAAGGCTCTCAGGTGGTGGCTGTCCTGAAGTCAGGGACACCTGGTATCCAAACCCCTGTCTTTCTGTCCAACATTCCAAGTTGCCCACAGTTTCCACCCTCTGTGGATTTCAATTTTTCCATCTGGTGGGGAATGGCGGCCCATGCCTGTGAATCCAGTGACTCTGGAGACTGAGGCAGGAGGATGGGAAGTTTGAGGCCAGCCTCAGAAACTTAGGACCTAAGCAATTTTGTGAGACCCTGTCTTAAAATCGGAAAAAAAAAAAAAAAAAGGAGAAGCGCTAGGATGTGGCTCAGTGGTAGAGCACCAATGGGTTCAATCCCCAGTTCAAACAGACAAACAGGACAAGTCTTCCCCCAAGTCTAAAAGACTGATTTCACCCTTGGTGTCCATTCTTCCTCCTGAGTGGCCCTGATCTACTGCAAGGTAATGTCACACCTATGTGACTGTTGGACACCTGGTCTCCATCTGTTTTCTTCGTGAATGATGCTAGTATCTTCAAAAAGCTGTTTTTTACTATGGAATCTTTAGAAAATATTTTTTTAAAAAATATTTTGGATATGGCAAAGATATCACAATGATATTTGGGGGGTTTTGTTTTTTCCTACTGTAGGGATTCAGTGCTTTTCTGTCTTCCAGGCATGAACAGGAGAGTCACATATGGGCAAAATTCAGTCCACCGTGTGGAGTGCATGGACGGAGGCAACCCTGGCCCTCACTCTCCCTGATTCTGCCCTCTTGCAAAAACATGGGATTCAATCAATTAATCTGGAGAAAGAAAATTCGATCCAGATTAAGCGGGTGGAGATTGGGGAATATGATTAGATACTGCTTTCTGATTGGATACTAGTCAAAAGGTGGAGGTGGGGGCGTGGTCTGGGAGGTCCATAAATGCTTCTGCAGAGCCAGAGGAGAAACACAAGAGTCCTGGAGCCCAAGGAGAATCATCACCACATGCTGAGGCTTCCAGCACTCCGCACACCTGGAAAGATCCTGTAAGTCCCACACCGCCCTGAGCATCACCGAGTCACCTCCTCACCTGTGCGGATTCAGAAAAAATTTTCTGTTTTTTCTCATGAACCAATTTAGGACTTAGGGTTTGCCTGTCAGTGAAGTTTTTCGTTTATCCTGAACATTAAGATTTCCACTTTAGTTTATGTCTCTTTCAATTTTCATTATTTCTTTCTTTCTTTCTTTTTTTTTTTTTTTTTTTGGATCCAGGGATTGAACTCAGGGACACGCAACCACTGAGCCACACCCCAGCCCTATTTCTTATTTTATTTAGAGACAGGATCTCACTAAATTGCTTAGCGCCACTCTTGCTGAGGCTGGCTTTGCATGCATGATCCTCCTGTCTCAATCTCCGGAGCCCCTGGGATTATAGGCTTGTGCACGCATGTCTCACATTTAAAAATATAAATAAATAAGTATACATGGACTGCATTATTTTATCTATCTATTTATTTGGAAGTGCTGGTGATTGAAACCAGGGCCTTATGCATATGAGGCAAGCATATACCAACTGACCTAATGCCCAGCCCACCATTTATTAATTTTTATGTGCTGCTGAGGATCAAACCCAGTGCTTCACACGTCCTAGGCAACTGCTCATCCACTGAGCTCCAGCCCCACCCCCTTAAAATTACTTAAGTAGATTGCAATCCTGTTACAATCTAATTGATTAGAATTCTATTTTGTTTTATTTAAGGAAGATTTATTTATTTATTTGTATATAATATTTATTTTTTTACGTTTAAATAGACACAATATCTTTATTTTTTATTTTTATGTTGTGTTGAGGATCGAAGCCAGTGCCTCACGCATTCCAGGTGAGTGAACTACTACTTCAGCCATATCCCCAGCCCTGGAATTCTATTTTCTGAYAATAAAAATATTTATATTGTGCATCCTTAAAATTATACTTTTTGCTGTGCTTGGTGGAACATGCCTATAATCCCAGCAATTTAGGAGGTTGAGGAAGCAGGAGGATTAGTGTTCAAAGCCAGCCACAGCAAATTAGCAAGGCCCTAAGCAGCCTTAATATAAAAAATAAAAAGAGCTGAGGATGTGGTTCAGTGGTTAAGTACCCAGAGTTCAATCTTTGGTATCAAAAACAAACAGGGCTGGGGATGTAGCTCAGAGGTAAAGCAGCCTGAGTTTAATCCTCTGCCACAAAGTTAATAAATACAAACCCAAAGGGGTAAGGGTGTAGCTCAGTGGTAAGCTACCCCTTGCTTCAATCCCTAGTATCACCAAAAAAAAAAAAAGAAAGAAAAGTATAAGTAAGTAAATTAATTTAAAAATTCTCTTTTTAAAAATGAAAACCAATGACACCCACTTTAGTTATTTATTTACTGAAGCTATAGATTGAACTCAGGGGCACTCTACTACTGAGCTACATCCCCAACCCTATTTTATTTTTCATTTTGATACGTGGTCTCACTAAGTTCTAGGCTGGCCTGGAATTTGTGATCCTCCTGCATCAGTTTCCCAAGCCATGGGGTTATAGGCCTGAACCACCAGGCCTGGTTTGGCACCCAAAGAGTGAAATTGGATCAATCAATTGCCAAAGCATCCACTTGGCTGAGTGGTTTCCTTGGGGTGGGTATCAGGTAGAGCTATGGAGCTTGGTGTGAATGATGTGTTTGGGCAGGGCATCCCCCAGGATCCCTCCATGCAGACTCCAAAGGATGAGCAGCAGACCCCACCTACACTTCAGGAGCTGGCAGGGCGCAGCCTCCTAAAGGACAAGTCCAGGGCCATCCTAGCTCTGGAGGACCTGCCCATACAGCTCTTCCCACCACTCTTCATGGAGGCCTTCAGCAGGGGACACACTGAGGTCCTGAAGAAAATGGTGCAGGCCTGGCCCTTCACCCGTCTGCCCCTGGGGACCCTGATGAAGAAGCCACAGCTGGGGATGATCCGAGCGGCACTGGATGGGCTGGACATGCTGGCTGCACAGCAGAATCGCCCCAGGTGAGGGGGACCCTGGAAGGGAGCTCCCTGGGTGTCCAGGGAAGTGATGGCTGTGGGCAGGGAGAGTGGGTGCTGAAGTGTGCACCACAGGCTTCCTGTGCTGCCAGCAAGGAGGGTTGGAGAGGCCTTGGCCATGCTGAGCCCCATCTGGGAAAGGCTTCCAGATGTGGAGGTGCTTGTGGCAGCTGCCATGACCCCTGAAGGAGGTTGCACCTGCCCCTCCCTCAGCTGGTACAGGTGGGGGCATCAGGCTGGATTGGAGGGGCAAGGGGTAGAGTAAAATGAGACAGAAGGAAGAGGTGGAGCAGGGAGCAGCAGCTGAGAGGTGAAGGCAGGGGCCTCAGGGCTGAGACTCTGCTGTGGTCCCCGCAGGAGGTGGAAACTGCAGGTGCTGGATTTGCGGAAGGTTCATGGGAACTTCTGGAGGACGTGGTCTGGAGCCGTGGTCAATGCCTGCTCACCAGGAGTCATGAAGGAGAGGCAAACAGCGAAGGCCTCTCCAGACATAGGGCCCACTCTGCCTTTGAAGGTGTTATTAAACCTGCGCTTTCAGCAAAGAACCCTGAATGCATTCCACTCCTTCCTCTTTCGCTGGGTGGATGAGAGGAAGGGTCTGATTCAGCTGTGCTGCAAGAAGCTGCAGATGTGCCCTTTGCCTGTCCATACCATTGAGAAGATCTTGGAGAGGTTGGATCTGGACTTTATCCAGCAGTTGGATGTGCAGTGCTTTTGGAGACTGTCCACCTTGGCTACTTTTGCTACCTATTGGGGCCAGATGAGCAACCTGAGGAAGCTCTTCTTCTCCCACGTCTATGTGTCTGTCTATGCTTCCCAGGAGGAGAGAGATCAGTTGATGGATGACATTACCTCACAGTTTGTCAAGATGCACAGCCTCCGGAGGCTGTACCTGGATGGTATCTTCCTCCTAGAAGGCCGTCTGTGCCAGGTGCTCAGGTGAGGAAGCAGAGGGATCTGTCCTAGGACATCAGAGCAAACTCTTCATCACATGAAACTTCAGCGGGCACCTGCTGTGTGCCAGCCATGGTGACTTAACATTGATGGAGATGTTAGAAAGTCAATGAAGTGTTTGTTTCCCTCTGTCCTGAAGCCAGGTCTCACCTAAACCCCCACACAGAAGCAGAGTCCTAAACA